AGTCAGCTTAATCACATGTTTGTGTTCCCTCTGTAAAGTTGAGATTTGTTAAAACGTAATTATTAAATCTTAAGTAAAATCAAAGTGGTCTATTAATTTCCCTGACTTTCCGCGCGCAAAAAGATTGGATTGGACACAAATTAAAGGATTGAATTGAAGGAATAATAAAAGGCATTTACTTTGGCCTCCCTATCCAATAGTTTTACCGCAAGTTGAACTTTGTATGGGCTGCAAAATCTCAAAACTATATGGTCCATCTATCTTTGTGGCCCAATACTGCACTAAATCTGGGATTACAGAAAATAAGTCTGTAAATTAAAGGTCAGATCCAAACTCACATTTCAATTTGGACTCCTAAATTACGAACTGGTTTATTGGGAGTGTTATGACTTGATGTATTTTGATCAAGCAATTAAACAAAGGAAAAATTGATAGTAATACACAACTATTGATGGTCCGCTCATAATAATCCCAATTATCGATTATTTCAGAATAATCCAAACTTTAGGAACCTTCCGTCAATAATGGTCCCTATAAATAAATTCTCGTAGTTTCTAAAGTGGATGAGAAGAGATATAACAAGTAATCCCTATAAATAATCCCAACTTTTAATTTTACGCTTAATTTATATTTAAAATTCATTTTGTATAGGAGGTAATATCTGGTCATGGACCATTATTGGCGGATGGTCCATATAGTTGAGATTATACAAAAATAATTAATAGTTAAGATTATTATCAACGGACCAACAATAGTTGGGATAATTATTTTCAATTTTTCCTTAAACAAATAGGTCAAGTGGATATAACATTTGCTATTAATTAGATTAACGTTTTGATTACCTACAATAATTCAGCTATACGAGTCCCATTGAGTATAGTGATATCTTCTCCACCACATATTATTTCCTAAAATAAAGGGAAGTTCTCGGGTGCCTATCTATTGTCCATGGTTTTAGGGGTAGATTTATAAAGCGTTATGTGACTCTCTTATGGAGTCACATATTGAGTATGGTGATATCATCTTCACCACATATTATTTGAATGGGAAACTCCATATGTGGTGAAGATGATGTCACCATATCCTATGTGACTCCATAAGAGAGTCACATATAGTTACATAATTTTTTTTATTGTTTTAGTGCTTTATCCATACGGCAGAATCCGATTGGTTGGATATCATAACGAAATCAAATAAAATTGTTTTATATTTGCAAAATAATCTTTAGACAATTACATATCAGTAAAGATGCAATTAAACGGACAATACTTTGTTATGTTTCCCTTGTAGTTCTCACTGATATCTTTCAGTCGATATGCTAGGAAATGCTACTACACATAAGCTCCAAATGGTGTTTCAGTTCTTAAGTGAGCAGATTCAGCACTAAATATGGCCAAACAAATTTTAATGGATTTGCAAAAGACGGCGTGGAGCGCCGTGACTTGCTCAAATTCCAAATTTGGCAAATCTTTATTCCTCAATCTCAACCTTTATCAACCAACTAATTCAAATCGAGAGTCGGAAAAATCAATTGGAAATTATGAAAACTTGGGGAATTGCAAAATAAACCTTATATATGTAGTACTTCGTATAAAGTAAAAGGAAATTAATTTTGTATAATTTAAAAGGATGGGGAATATGTTAGTGTAATTGTAGTTTGCTTTCCCAAACGCAAATTCAGAAGAAAGATGCCTTTATTTGATATAAGAGATTAAGAGGAGCTGTGAAAGTGACGATGTCCTCTTTTTTTTTGACAAAATATAACTCTTTATTTGAAATCGCCACATTAAACACTACACTGAGATGAGACTCAGAGTTGTAATCACGCATAAGAGCGGTCCAACTCGCTAATCCCGCAATGTGGTAGACTCCACTAACAGTAATGTTGCACCTGCTACTAGAACTGAAATTAATATAAAAGCAACAACATAAGTCAAGCATTCCCGGTCTCCTCAGCCAGGCTCCCTCGGCCTGACCACCTCGGCGAGGACCTTCAACCAATAGCTTTACTTTGTGCATAGCGAGAATATACGCGTTAGTGAGAATAAACACATGTAAATAGCCTTAGCTTTTAATGATCCATTGTTGTACTCGGGCCTCTCAGGCCCAAGACCTGAGAGCCCAACCCATATTTTCTCTATAAATACTCTCCTCGTTACAATAGATGTATTATAGCAATTTATCATTTTATTGTGAGATTTGTTGGTACAATAACGTTACGATAGATATTGTGCTACAAAATATTGTAGCAATTTCTATGGTGCTACAAAATGGATGCTGCAATAGATATATTTTTTACTAGTACATTGAGAGTGGTTGTTGTGGAAAGAAACTTTTCAAAGTTGAAACTTATAAAAAAATATCTACGATCAACCATGTTGGAAGACAGATTAAGTGATTTAGCTATGTTCTCGATTGAAAATGAATGCTAGATATTTTATTGTAGTGATGTTATTACTGATTTTTCACTTCAAAAGCAAGAAGAATAGGGTGTTACAATTACAAGTCTGCGGTGTATTTTACATATGTTTGCATAATTGCATTTCTAAACTTATTCTTTATATATTAAAAATAATATATCATAAACTTTGCGTGTAGTGTTTTTTATTCAAATCATCTTTATTCAATATGATTTTTTGCTTGGTGAATATGTTTCAGTGTAGCGCCTCAGAAATGCTAAAGATGCCCTTGATTTTGGTGCATTACCTATGTAGCACCGATAATGGTACATGGAAACGCGGAAATGCAGAAACGGGTACGAGAGTACGATAAATCCAAAAAAGTAGGATACGAATACGGGGCCATATTTATAAATATTAAAAGTTATGGGGTGTAGTTATAAATATTAAAAGTTACAGAGATGTATTTATAAATATCAAAAATACGATTTTTTTTTGAAAAAATAGACATATGTTATCCTCTGACGTCTACTCATTCATGTCATTGAAGCATTTTACATTTTCAAGATACTTAGAAATAAGTTCATATTTCATCTCATATACACTAGTGCACCACGAAATATAAATATAGTCACTAGTCTTTAATTTAAAATGACAAATAAGTTAAACAACTACAATTTTATAATTAAAAGTGTAAGTAGTCAAAGTTCTAGTATAATGAAGATACAAAACAATATTTTAAAAGTTCTAATACATAGTTCCTTTGGAGCTATTAATTTCAAGGGATGATTAAAATTAGGGAAAAGAGGATGGGTACGTGAATTAGGAATAGGCCCATTAGTTGTGTACAACATAAATGTAAGGTAAAAATCATTTTTAGCTTTTCATTTTTTAAGAATTGTATTATGTAAATTTTGAGTGTGTTTTTCAAAAGTTTTTTTTGGAAGATTTTTTTTATTTTTTTAAGTTGATACGGGTATTCGTCAGGATACGAGCTGAGTATCCAAAATTTTAAAATAATTACCAAAAAATGGAAACTTTTAAAATTGCAGATACGGTCCGGAAACGTACGGTATGGGTATCCTAGAGTATCAGATACGAGAACGTTTCCAATACGCCGATATGACATTTTAGTGAAGTATCCGTGCTTCATAGTGCATTACCCATATTGGTAGTGATTCAAAAGGATGAGAAATTTGTTAATATAGTCGTGGAGCTTTGTTTGATAAGAGGAGTTGTGAAAGTGATGATGTCTTCTTTACTAAATTATGAACAAATTTTGAGGAAATGAAATAGAAAATTGTTGTTTGTACACACCGATTGCTATTGGCCTAGCCACCATTGGTGAATATATTTTTGTCTATAAACACGCTATTTTTATTTCAGTAAATAACGTGTTTACAAACAAAAAGTAGTCTCATGTAGAAATGTAATTAAGAAGCAAAAGTGAATGGCAGGGCCGTTTTTTAGGGGTTTAATAGATTATCCAGAACAGTCAACGGGCCCCCCGAATTTATGGGACCCCAAAATTTTAAATTTCTTTTAGTATTATATAGTACGGAGTAATATTATACGAAGTATATTAATAGTAATTAGTAAAATATAGTTAGTAAGGAAGAAAGTTATAGATCCATTATTTTTTCCCTATTCTTTTTACTCTTAGTTCTCCTTAATAAGTATTCAATTGATTTGAATATAAATATTTGAATTCATATTTTTAAATAATAATTTGGAACCCTGATTATACTTAGAAGCAGAGCCTCCAAATTGTATGAATGGAACGTGATGATAAATTTGTGTAGCTGTGTTCTATGTAGCACCGATACCGGTACGCGGAAACGCGGAAACGCGGAAACGCGGAAACGCGGAAACGCGGAAACGGGTACGGGAATATGTCAAAACCAAAAAAAGTAAGATACAGATACGGGGCCATATTTATAAATATTAAAAGTTATGGGGGTGTATTTACAAATATTAAAAGTTATAGGGGTCTATTTATAAATATTAAAAACAGATTTTTTTTGAAAATATATATAATACATATAATATCCTATGATGTCTACCCATTCATTGCATTGAAACATTATTTTCCTTTTTCAAGATACTTAGTAATAATTTCATAATATTTCTCGAAATATAAATGTAGTCAATAAGTCATTTATTTAAAATGAGAAATAAGTCAAATAACTACAATCTTGAATTTAAAAGTACAAGTACCTAATTCGGAGTATGAGTTAATGACTTAATTCCGATATAGCCATAGGCCCATTATTTGATTATCAAGTAAACTGTAGTTTTAGATTTTCATTTTTTTTAGAATTTTATTAAGTAAATTTTGGGATTTTTTTTTTAAAAAAAAGTTGATACAGGTATCCGTCAGGATATGAGCTGAGTATCGGAAACTTTCAAAAAATTACAAAAAAAAATGGAAACTTTTAAAAATTGTAGATACGGCCCGGGAACGTACGGTACGGGTATCCTAGAGTATCGGATACGGGAACGTATCGGATACCCCATACTCTACCCTGAAGTATCTGTGCTTGTGTTCATAACTCTCCACGCACATGCAACGTGTTACTTTGGGTACCTTCTCGTTCTAATGCGAATTTTCCACATCAATTTATATCATTTCATCGAAGCAGCAATGATGCAGCACCCCTCCATTAAAAGAAGGAAATCCAACCCCCATAGGCAGTTGCCCAAATTCTTGTTACAGACGCATTTCCTCAAACAGTTGGCGTTCTTCATATATAGCTCTTCATATCAGGTGATCCTACAATGGCCAGTGCAAGCGATGAGTTCAGGCTGGTATCACCAGGCTTTAATCACGAGGGTAGGTTACCTAGAAAGTACACAGACGAAGGGCAGGGTGCTATGAGGAAAATCTCTCCGCCATTGGAGTGGTACAATTTGCCTGAAGGGACGAAGAGCTTGGCGTTACTGGTACAGGACATTGACGCTCCGGATCCCAGTGCGCCCCTCGTGCCCTGGGTCGTTTGGGTGGTCACGAATATTCCTCCCTCGTTGACCGGGTTGCCGGAAGGGTTTTCAGGTAAATTTGACGAGTTGGACGGCGACGGCGACGGCGATTTTTCTAAAATTAGGGAAGGCAAAAACGACGACAAGGTTTTCGGATGGCGCGCGCCGAAGTTGCCCTCACATGGCCACCGTTTTGAGTTTCGCCTTTTTGCCCTTGACGCTGAAGACCTTCATCTTGGAAATAAGGTACTCAACTCTTTTTTACATGCCCTTGATGATAATTTTTTTATTATTAGTATTGATTATCAATTTTAATCATCAGTTTCATTAGCATCAACTACTATATAGTTTTAACCTTTAGTATTTCTAAATGGCATAATTTTTCCTCTTTTTTTTTGGCTTAAACATTTCAAGTATAACTTTATGGTTTATCAAATTGAGCAAGTGGACATAAATTAGTGATACCGATTGCATGTGTATTTTATTAAGAGAGAAAATGAAGACTTATTCTTGAACAGAAATTAAATCCTTTTTAGCATAAGTTAATGATACAGGATTGCGTGTGTATTTAACAAATGTGAAAATGAAGACATATTTTTGAGATATTTCAGTAAAGACTATGAGAATTTGTTATTGGTGGAATAGTCTTATGGTAGGGCCAGAGAATATATGCAGATTACATATATGGTTCAGTTTCATCCATTTTGTGTTGATATAAGTTAATTTGTTCAAAATTTATGCTTTTGCAGCCTACCAAGGACAAACTTCTAGAGGCAGTGGATGGCCATACACTTGCAGAGGCGGTTCTGATTGCCAAGCTCTGAAAGTCTGAAATGTCCATTTTGTTTTTGTTTCTTTAACCAACACTTTCTGTAAATCTGTAATAATGTGAAATATAACCAAAATATACTATAGGTAAAGTTTCTTTCTGGAGTTTATAGCAGTTTTGCAGGACCGAAAATGACTGAAGTTAAGAAATTTGAATCATAATTTGAAGTTGTAATCAAAATGATACAATGAATCCATAGGATGAATGAATTGACTTGCTTAAAAACTGTATGAAAAAATAGTTTTGAATAGATTTAAGAAAACAATGGGTAATATCTCTTTTAGAACAGAAGTGCAAAAAAAATAAACACTGCAAAATTATCAGACTACTTGAAATGTATTTGGCTCGATTACTTGAAGAACATCATCCCCCTTCAAAGTCTAAGGGGAGAATCAATATATGTCATTCTCGGAGACAGAATCCAGAAGGGGTGATGCTTGATGTTTTGACCATATTGCTCCCCACTGATAATGCCTGCTGGCTGCAAGCCTGCGGGGTTCTGCTTCCATTATACGCACTGCAGATATATGCTTCAAAGTTTTCATAATCCTGCAACAGAAGGTGCACTCATTTACTTCCAATATACTTGTTTCAATGTATGTATTGAGATCTAAGAATGAGCATCATCTTTATATGCAATGAAAGATATAGAGATGGAGTGGAGTGACTAACTTCTTGAAGAGGCTGATTATTCACCAGAACCCATGGCACAAACCTGTGAGTGGGGATCAGACTCGCTGTCTCAGCTGCATACCCCTGTTCTAACTGCAGATTAAAAATTCACTCACATGACACATTGATCCCATTCTTATTTGGATTTGCCTGAACTTTTCATATAATTTCTAAATTAAACACATTTCATTTATCATTTCACCAATACCGATTCAAATGTTAATAATATATACATTTTTTATTCTGGTTTCATAAACTATGGTTAGAAAATATTGAGTGTGGTCAATTCTGACAATTTACATTTAAAATACCTATAAAAAAAGGATTACACCCCATCCCTGAGGGCCCCCCAACACTGACCGGACGGCACGATGGGAGGATGTAAATTGGACTATAATCACAATCTGACAGATAGAGAGCGGGGCTCTGTCCCCGGTACTTGCAAAGGCCCTATGCATTTTTCAGCATAGTAACCCCTCATCGCAGTTGCCGGGATTCGAACCCGAGACCTAACCCTTGTGGCACTCCCTTGCTATCAGTTGAGCTACGCCCACCGGTTTAAAATACCTATAAAAAGTACATACAGACTTGCTTTGACATTCGGGTTTGGTTCTGTTTCATGCATATAGTTTGTTTTCAGTTCGGATTCGTTCAATTAGTTTTGTTCAGTTGAAGTGAGCCAAAAGATTAGACCCCTACTTTTGCTATTAAACCGTTCAGGGAAGTGGTATTTTAAAAAGACAAAATGTATATATGTATATATGCCTATAAGCTTATAAGCTATCAAATGTGAAACCACCGCCGAAGACAAAAAGTACGCAAATATAAACTAATAAAAGAGAGACAAACCAGGATTCCAACTCCATTGTTGAAGCAATCCCTAACCGGAATTTCACTCAATCCTGTAGCAGCAAAGCAAGATTTCCAGTCACTGTGTCTGTTCTCCAGATGCAAAAGCTCTATGCAATATACAAATCTGAATTGCATGATTTCCTGTATCTAAACACCATTTTCAGAAATATGCACAACATTGTATTACTAAATATGGGCATGAGTTGGTTTTTAATGCAAGCTAGGAAGTCTATTTTTATTTACCAGATTACTCCATGAACTGATAGCACAGGCTTCCACTAGATTGAGCAGACACTCATCAGGGCCATGCTGGCAAATCCAGCCATGGTTAGGGGCTGTTTGCGTGTTTCCCCAAGGGATGAGCCTGAGATTGACAATGGACCCAAGATCTGTGGTAAACAGCCTCACTAGCTTATTGACAATGAAGTTTGCACAGTACGGACACAGAGATTCATAGTACAGCGATACGCTAACTCTGTCGTCCGAATCACCGTCTGTTGGAAAACCCCCCGAAGGACCGACTCCAATGTCTAAGGAACCATGGGATTGAAAGATGTAGGATGACATATAAAAAAACACAAACATGGCTGTGTAGGTTCTCTTGGGAGGAGCCATTTCTAAACTATGTGTATGAAGTTTGAAGCTGTTGTAATAATACAGTGAGTGTCTAGATGTGCCCTCACGTTTTTATAACGTTTTCTTGTAGAACACCAAGTGTAACTTTTCCACTTCTCTTTACGCAGTTTTTTGGTGTTTTGTTATTCCTTTGGGACTCTTCAACTGCATGCATGTCTCTAGCAAAGTAAAGGAAAAGCCTCGGTTTAGTTGATAATTTGGTCACTTAAAGGACGTTCATGTGATTTGCCAAGCAACCCATTCAGCGGGCCTTGATAAGGGCCTAGTAAGAGGCCATATATCTTTGTGCAGACATTACAATCCCTCTCGTACCGTTTTACCTATACTCGAGATTATACGATCATGAGATAGATATGTATGCTTATTTTGCGGCCCATTGAGAATATTGGGCTGCTCATTGAGAATATAAGGGCCTGTTTACTGACAGAGATATTTTCTTTTTTTTTTCAAAAATTTGGAAAACTGGAGATAGAAAAGTCAGAAAACATGTTTACCAAACTATTTTCCAAAATGAAAAAATCGAATCACGTCTCACTTTTCCCGTGTGAAATGGAAAACACCTTTTATGCGTTTTCTACTTTTTGAAAACTCGGTGCTACAGTATTCATTTACTTCGTTCACCTTCCTCCTCCTACCCCGCTTTCATTTCGCCTTACCTTCCTCCACCCAACTTCATTACTGGGTGTTAAAGTCTCACCTTCCTCCTCCCCTCCAGCTTTAAAATCGGACTTGAGCATCGCCAAAAACACTCCAGGTTCAGATTTGTCCGAGCAAGCTTCCTTACCTCTTCCTCATGGCTCCCACACTCCAGGTTCACAAATAAGGCCATCGCTGCTAGGAGCTGAGCCCCGACATCACGACATCTCCCAGTTCTTCCGTCAGCTCCTGTTCTGCCAACGATTTGAAGGTAAGCTCTGAAACTCAATAAATTTAAAATCAATTCAGCTTCCTTCGGCTCCTGGTCTCCCAGTTCTTCCGTCGGCTCAATAAATTTTATTGAAAAATTTAAATCTGATTGGACACTGCAAACCAATTCAACTTCTTAAGCGTGAAATGCATGGTTAGGGCATGTTTTTCTTAATTTTACTTTCACCTTCGTAACTTCGTAGCTCGTGACACAAAGCACAAAAATTACATGCTTCCGGTTAGTATTTCTGATCCTCTCTGGTAATTGCCTGCCTAATATTAAACGACGACTTCATGTTGCTATCATTATGCAATTACATCTGATTTCTTAATGAATTTACATATTCGTTTAAAAGCCAATTTGTTAAAAAGTAACACTACAGCAGTATTGCAAAGTTAATACCACCTGTGACTTGTTTACAGAGGAAGAGTTTGTGTTTTTATCAAACTTCATAGTCTTCTTTTACACAATTAAAAGTGCAAAGCTAATGGATGTGTAACCAGTTTCTTACTATCTCCTTTCCAGTTGAAGACTTAATGTACTTGCTTAACCCTTAAATGGAATTTAACAGATTTTTGGATTAGGTATTTTGAGTTGATATAGATAGTATTCATTTATGTTCATTAATATGAACTTTTTTTATAATCACTGCCCAAAACCGCTGTCCGCTGCACTTCAGGAGGATAGAGCAAATCCAGATTCAATTTTTTGTTGTTGTTCACAACAGGAAGGAAATCTTAGTACTAGGTTTTTAGTATACACTCTAGACACTTAAACCTTCCACAATATGGCCATTCTTGTACTACGATCAGACAATTTTTGGTTTTTGTTTTTGTTATGAACTCTATCAAGGAGTAAAGGACATTATTTTTTACTTCATGAGTTGTTGATATGATTCCATGAACATATTACTACATTTTTTTACATCAAGAGTTTATTTTACTTCATATATGTTTCAGCCCCTTTACATTCAGTTTATGGCATAGTATTTAGTAGTTTTGGACATTTGGTTTTCAGCTTGAATGGAAGTTGTTACCTAGTAGTTTGTTTTGAGCTAAGTATGTTTGAAGCTTTGGGGTAGTTGGATGACCAGTGTGCCCTGTGTGTTTCCTTTGCCATGCATTGCGTGTAGAAGTGGCTGCTTCGTTAATCGTTACATAATCCATCTAAGAGTCATTGTCTAGATCCTTTTTGAAATCCTTCCACTTTATGGGGTTACATCAGTAACACATACTTGGGATCCATACACACTTACATCAACCAGGGCACGCTTTTTTTTAAAGAGGGAAAAAAGCAGTCTATTTTTACGTAATGGTCACGCAAAATGTCATGGCAGCTTGTAATCATGACATGTTGTTTACGTATGTGTACGCGGGTTGGGAGGGAACATGCAATGACTCTCGAGTATTTTTAGATGCAATTACAAGAAGCGAAAATGGGCTGCCCATGCCTCCTATCGGTAATACAATAATTATGCAATTTGTGTTAATAAAGTCACTATTTAACAAAAATGGGTTCCCATTGTAAATGTTGTTGACTTCATTATAGGTTATTACTATGTGGCTGATGCTAGCTATCCAAATGTTCCGGGTTTTCTAGCCCCATACCGTGGAGAGAGTTATCACTTAAAAGATTTTCGAGGCCAAGGACGAATACGCAATAAGCAAGCTTTATTTAACTTCCGACACTCATCCGTGCGTAATGTGATCGAGAGGTGTTTCGGAGTACTAAAGGAAAGATTTCTCATTCTAGACATATCACGTGGTTACCCATTGAGAACACAAGTTCAAATTCCCATAGCTTGTTGCGCATTGCATAACTTCATTCGCATGCAAGATAGGAACGATGATTTGTTCTTGGAGTACGAGGAAGATGATATGATAGTTAACACGGAGGCAAGTACAAGTGAAAATGGATCACTCGAATTTGATATGTCTCAACAACAACAAATGCATGAAATTCGAGAAAGCATTGCAAATGCAATATGGGATGATTATAATGTTTGAGATGTCGAAGTACAACTGTTGTTCTGATTAACATGTCACTTGTTGAACTTTCAGTGTTGGGGAACATTTATGTTATTTTTTTTGTTATTTCAAATGTCCCTTTAAATGTGCATTTCTTTTTCGGAATATTAAGTCAACGTTGTATGGTAAAAATGAAATGAAAAATTGAAAAATTCTGGTAAACATGTTTTCTGATTTGGAAAACAAAAAACTGGAAAATGAAAACAGAAAACTACAGGCTTGAAAACAGAAAATGATAACAGAAAAATATTTTTGTTAGTAAACGGCCCCTAATACTTTTGAATTGAGATGTTTCATTTGATTGCATTTAGACTTCTGTCTTAGAAATGGACTTCTTCAATTTCACTCGTATTCAAAACAAGCATCCCTCATCATGTGTCTGCCTCTCTGTGTAGTTTTAACTTATCTCACGTGATCATCTATGTGAGTATATCTGTTTGGTTCTCCACTTCTCCATTTTTCTTGATTTTGACTAGCAATCGCTGGTTGATCCTTCCACATAACTAAAGCCCGTTTCACCTATACTCAAGAGAATACACTAGCTTTTTTATCTCCATTGATAGGGATGCAGGTCTCGCGGTCAATTGAGAATAGAATGATTTTGAATTATGATGTTTCATTTGATTGCATTTAAAATTCTAAATATGTCTTGGAAATTGATTGCTTCAATTCCGCACATTCAAAAGAAACATCTCTCCGATCTCTACATAGTTCTAACTTATCTCATGTGCGTAATTGAAGCAATCAATTAGAGTCAATTCCCTAAATAGGACTACAAAGTGGCAAAATTGCACAAATAGGACTAATTTTTTTAAATTCCCTTAATAGGACTATTTATGTGTGCTTGGACAAATATACCCTTGTAACTTGTGAAATGTTTTAATTAATAACAAAATCATAAAAAAATACTAAAAATAAAAAAATACTAAAAATCGTTAAAAAAATAGAAAATTAACAAAAAAAATTAAAAAAATTTAAAAAAAATATTTTTTAAAAAAATTAAAAAAAATTAAAAAAATCGTAAAATTTAAAAAAAAACATTACCACGCCTGCCACCCCCCAGGCCCCAGCACCACCAGCTGCCATCACTGGAGAAAAATATGCCAACATTTTAAATAATGCCATAATGATGGCATATTCAATGAAAATGTTGGCATATTGAAGAGTAATTATGCCACATTTTTGGCATTTTCAGAAAAAGATGGAATTTTTTACCAAAAGTGGAAGAAATTCCACCAATCGGAGTTGGTGGTGCTGGGAGGCAGCGGGAGGCGGTGGGAAAGGTATCCATAATTTTTTTCAGTTTTTATGGGTTTTTACTATTTTTTTTATTATTTTTTTAAAAAAATTAAAAAAATTAAAATTAAATTTTTTATTTTATAAATGTTTTATAAATGTTTTATAATTTTTTTACGTTTTTTAAATTTTTTTTACGTTTTTTATGATTTTATTATGAATTAAAGCATTTCATTGTAAATTAATACTCTGAGGGATATTTAGGGTAGAAAATCAATGTTTAGTCCTATTTAGGGAATTTAAAAAGTAGTAGTCCTATTTGTGCCTTTTAGGAACTCATTAGTCCTATTTAGGACAATTTCCGAATCAATTACACACATGAATGTAACTCTGTTTAGTTATTCCTTGTGGTCATTTTAACTAGCAATCATTGATCAATCCTCCCACCAAGGCGATATAGGGGGTCAACCTGTGTCTTGACCCACCATACCCCTCCCTCCCACACAGTCAATGATACTAGTTTTCTATACGAGAATAGCACATTGAGTTATTGTTAACGTTCATAGCATTTTGATTGTCGTACTTACCTTTGATATCCAGTTGTTGATTATAGCGCACAACGTGTTTTTGCCAACTTTTGCAACACAATATATTTTATTTATATTGTAATTAAATAAAAGTAGCACACTTCTCTGTAACATTACTTGTCAAAAAATGTCCCCACAAATGTGTAGATATATCTATTGTATGTTCTACTACTAGTACATCCGGCCATGTCTAGACTCTAGATTTGTATAGCCTTTAAAGATTGGATAGGCTCCCTAAACCAAACAAAAATTAGTTGTATATTTCAAGTGTCCGAGAATAACCCAATGCTCATTTCCATGATTAGAGAAAAATGATTTATGTACACACTTCTTGAAAAATGTCAAACCTCTTACACACACCAATACACACATTAAACTCTAAGTATAGAAGAATGGGCACAACTAACATCAATTCAATATATTCTATGAGTGTGGGACATGTATGTTTAATTAATTTGAAATGGTAGCCATAATCACCAGGTCTTCCTATCGGGAATTATTTGCATTGCTATGATTTCTTGCGCTCATCCTATGTTTTCCAAATCAAAGCACTTGACTGGTTTTTCCTTAACTTAGACTGATTTTGATTGCAATTTTCCAACAATTAATGTCATTACATATAGTAAAAGATCGATAAAGTATTGTGAGGATGTCTCTTAATGTGAAACTCGCGTTCATTTGTAGCATTAGCGCTTAAACATGACCCAAATTTTCTATTCCACTACATCGATTCAAGCCATACATGCTTTAGATAGATTACAAGGTTATCACTTGAACCTGCAAAACATTCTAATCATTACATGTCAGCTACTCCCCGTGTTCGTGCAAAACTTTGAATTTCACAACTTATTTTGATCATGCTTCTCTAGTAATGTATTTGATCAAATTATCATGTACTCCGTATAAAATATTATTAAATTTTTCTTAATGTGCACTTCAAAAATACTAATTTTTTATAATGTTTGTTAACACGTAATTGAATCAGTCAAAGTTGTGTATTGACCAACGTGAAAGTCAAACTATTATGTTGGGGTAATTGGCCCAATCCAAATCAGATCAACCCAATACCCCGTGAAGAATTGGTAGCGGGAACCGCTAAGGCCCAGAGCTGCTCGGCACAGCCCTTATGTCATTTTGCCTTAGTCGGCATGCTGAACATGTCGACGGAAAAGAAAGGATTTTGGTTGGAAGTGCATTAAATGCATCAAATATGCAAGATTTTGTGGTTGGAAGATTAACCACACATGATCCTCCACACCATCAGTTCATCACTACCACCTACCACATGATAGTTAAATAGGAACATTTATTTCATTGTTAAGAATTGCTAACTTGTACTCATCAACTTTAGATCTCTATCCTCAACTTAGAGTAAAAGCTCAACCTTTGACCCGCTAGGGTGTGCTGTAATTGTTTTAATATATTTAACCCATCAAAAACTGTTTTCTCTTGTTTTCAAGTCTCCGTGAAGAAATTTTTACATGGACATGTTAAAGGTCCACGATCATACTTGCTACTAAGTCAACTAAAATACAAAATAATGTCATCTTGCAATTGTTGCAAAGATCTTGTGTCTTATGAATTCCTCTAGGGACTTGCTCCGTATTTCATACGGTGCCTTTCCTCCACTCTGACACAGATTTGTACATCATTACACAATTAATAATGCTACGAACTATAGAATCGATTGTAAGAGTTGCGTTTTCAGAAATTCTACAACCATGTGTTTGAAGAGGGTTAAGCTATTTGATCATATTTTGTTTGCAATGCCAAGAAATGCAACTAGTGATGGACCCGGGCCGAGCCGGTTCCGGGCCCGGCCGGCTTTTTTTTGGGAAGGAAGGCCCGGGAACAACCCGGGTTGCCACCGGGTCCGGGGCCAGGCCGGACCTCCATTTTGGTCTTTTTTTTTTGTTTTCCTAACCCCCCCCCCCCCCACCCACCCCCATCCCCCCAAACCCCTCCTAACCATCAAGCCCAACCCAGGTGGAACCCCCAAAAAAAAAAAATCAATTCGGCCCGGACCCGGGCCCGACCCGGCCGGGCCGGTTCGCCAAATACAAGGCCCGAGCCCGGACCCGCCCACCCACCAGGCCTAGGCCTGACCCGGACCCGAGAACCGGGCTGGTTCCGGGCCCGCATAGTAGCGGGCCGGGCTGGTCCCGGGCCCGCATAGTAGCGGGCCGGGCTGGTCCCGGGCCGGGCGGCCCGTACCGGGTCCATGACTAAATGCAACCATCAAGTCAAGTCTAAAACATTTAGTAATGCTCATGTTATGTAACCATGTTTTTGGAGTTTGGACATGACATGATTGAATGGAACCTATGGAAGGTGCAAAAGCAATTGTATATTTTTGGATCGATGTGTTATATTCTAGTGAAAATTTTACCAAAGTTTTATCTAACTTTATGGCTTCAACTCCATATTAGTCTGCAAAAACTGTAATGGTTTTTAAGTAATGAAATATGCGAGTACCATTTTGGTTCTCTTGTTTATTTGTGTAGGTGTCTTTCTGCAAACAGGTTGTTGCTTCTGCTTGCTCTATGGATGGACTCGGTTCGGGCCCGGGCCCGGCCTAGGCCCGGCCGGGCTCCGGTCCTGGATTGGAGGGCCCGGAACCGGCCCGTGTAACCCCCCCGGGTCCGGGCCGGGCCAGGCCTCGGGTATTTTTTTTTTTTTTTGCCTTTTTCTAATTAACCCCCAAATCCCCCCCTCCCCTCACACCCAAACCACCTCAAATGGCCCAAAATGCTCGGCCCAATCCAAAAACTTAAAAAAAATCAAAAAAAAAATTAAATGGCCCAGGCCGGGCCGGTTCACGTTTTGAGGGGCCCGAGCCTGGACCGGAACCACCTCGGGTCGGGCCTACCCGGACCGGTCCCTGACCAGGCCACCGGGCCGGGCCGGAACAGTGGCGGGCCGGGCCGGTTCCGGGTCAGGCCACCCGGCCCGAGTCCACCCATAGCTGGCTCTACATGATCTTGTGGGATCATTAAAAATATACACTACGTATTTTTTCACAAAAAGCACATACTGTGTATTGAGCCATTGAATCGACCCTTAATCACAAGTTCACAACAAGACACAAAACCAAAACACTAATTCATGTGTGATCATCAAGAGAGTAAATGTGCAGAGAAGGATGATGTACAGAAACAAACAACACTATAAGAATGGCAAAGCGGCACTTTATATTAATTGAATCATCCTCAAGCGCTGCCGCAAGAGACTACAAATGTGTGAACTATTCAAAAACTGTAATTCGATACAATATTAGAGCATTGTAACAGCAAATAAGGAAAATCACTCATCTAATTGTACGGGGTTGTGTAAATTGTATTATTGGACAAATTTAGTTAGAGAATGAAAGAGGAGGCAGTGCACTACATGTAATTTTAAGGCATGTTGTAGGCATACAAATCCATTTAATCAACCAGCACACAGCTCACAATGTGCCCTACTCCACCTCACACACACACAGGTCCCAAAGTGTGCCTTTTTATTTAGGTAAATCAGAAAACGACCATATTTTTTAACTTTGACATGAACACTTCTGCCCGACGAGGGTATGAGTTCAATACAATCAAATTGTGCACATTTCAAACTGGAAAAAGGTTGTCATAACTCATAAGAACATTTTAGGTAAGATCCACATATGACACCCCCATGAGTTGAACTAGGATGACAAATAAGAAAAGTGGAAAGGGATCTGGTAACCATAGGAGTTGAACTAGGATGACAAATAAGAAAAGTGGAACGGGATTTCAACCTGACTACAATTCATTGACGGCATCAAGCCCTCAATGCACAACCTTCCTTGAATTGCCGAGGCCCCAAATAAAAAGTTCTATGAGAGAGAATGATAGATACTCAGAACTAAACAATGAGAGTACCTGCAAGCCCTTTTTCTTGCTACAATCTCCTCCTACTTCAGTTCCAATCCAGATGTGACATCTACATTCTACAATAAGAGTATTTGCGATAGCTTCTAATCTCTTAATAGCACTTTTTGTGACCTCCAATGTCTTTATTTCTAAAAAAACTTTTATTTCCAAATACTGCCAAGTTTTACTTTTAAACATTTTTCTATGACAGCTTAAGTCTCAACACATACCATAGCAAAAGAAAACACCCAAACTATTCTAAAACAAGCTCTGGTAGGGGGTTTCAAACTTTCAAGAAAGAGATTAGCAGAAGTTGTGCCAGAGACAATTAAAGGAGGCCAAGGACCCAATCAAAGCCTAGAGCCTAGGGGAGACCGAATGCGTAGGCAAGGTGCATTGCCTAGAAGAACTAGACAAGAGTTTTATAACATTCAATATATGCGCTACCAAACATAATGCCTAGAAATAAAATGTATACTATAGAACAACATAAGCTAACACTGATGTAGAACATGCAAAATCAACACATTTGATGGAACATGAACCCTACACTAATTTGCGACACAAAGAACTACTCCATATTATGCTTAACACTATGCTTTTAGAGCCAACAGAAGAGACTAAGAACAAAACTTGTAAAGTTGTAATATACGGAGCACTTCACAGCCAATACTCTAATAAGAGAATATTTTATGAAAGACCATATTTTAAGATGAGCCTAAGTGCATACACAACATCACCTATACAAAGACAGACAGATAACAAATCTATGCCCACATGGTCAAATAAATCCCAGACATAACTTAGAGGTTGCTCTCTCAGAGTCCTAGGACTAAGATTAGTCAGTCATATATGCCCAAAAGTGGGCACCAAACGTCAACATCCAAGGCATAGTAGTACAATCAGTTTGATAATAACCACAAGGCAAGCTGATGTTTACTCTCTCACAGGGACTGATCATGTTTAGGCGGGATGAGAGTGGAATTAGGAAGGGCCCGAGCAAGGAAAAACATAGGTGCCATGGTACATACTAGCTCCTATATGGTGTTTAGTCAGGTTTATGATATAATTTTGAACACACTACTAGACAAAGTAAGAATTGTTTTGATCAAAAGCCAGGAAGTTCCTAACAACCGAACTTTTCACTGAAAAATGGAACACACCAATATCAAATAAACCATCAAGCATGCACAAGAAACACTTTACAACAATACAAAGCACTCGATTCACGCATATGACCATTTGATGTGATTGAGAGGAATTCACAATTTAAAGATGAATTCTGCAATAAAACAAAAACTGAACATACAAAAATGAAATAATAACCCATCACAAAGATCTACCTCACTTGGCGAACACAAAAATTAACAAATTTATAGATCCATCATAGTAACATTACAAGTGTTCTCTAAGAAAAGATATAGAAAGTTTTTGTAATTTGATGTTTTTGTCATTTTTCTTAAGTACTAAACATATATGTGTATATAAAAAGTCCATGAATTTACGAAAAAAACAGCTTCAGATTTTTTTACCATAGATGCCTGCCTTTGAGCTTTACAGATCTCAGATTATATGATCAAACCCTGGACGCAACAGCAGGAGAAGCAACGGAGGCTGCTACATTCGCCGCACCACCAGTCAAGAAAGACAGAAATCCAGTTGTAGGCGCATCTTGCTCATCAAGGAACAGATCTTCAGGGACCCTGAAAGCGGCGTGGGTGCAGACAATAGCGGCGCCAATCATCAACGCGGAGACCAAAACAGATCCGACGCTTGTGAGGAAAATGACGAAGACGGTGGAGACAAGGAGCGCACCTAGGGTTTCGCGTTCGGAGAATTGTCGACCGAAAAGGACGAGAGGGGGATCGGAGGGGCGGAAGAGGTAAAGGAATAGCCAGGCTGCGAGAAGTGCAGAGAGAAGGATAAGGGAGAACGGGTTGGTTACAAGAGAGAACCCAAGTACAGCGGCAAGGAGGGTCAGGTAGTTGATCTTGAAGTAGGCATAGTTTTTGCGGACGCGGACGGTGGCGTCAGAGAAGGACTCCGGCTTAGCGAAGGCGGAGCGGTCCACAAGCTCGGGCCAAGGGCGGCGGTTTGCGAGCCCGTTGCGCACGGTGTCGGTGATGTGGTTTATGAAGGCACGGAAAGCCGGTGTGGGCCCAACAGCGGCGGCGTCGGAAGAAGCCACGGCGGTGGTGGGGTGAGAATTAGAGATTGGGAGAACTGCCGGCGATGAATTGGCCATTGATATAGCTTGCTTGCTTTTCTTTTTTGAAAGGATATAGCTTGCTTCTTAGATATGGAGGTTTAAGTTATACAAACAAGCATTGCTTCAGGATCAGGAGGGATGAATTATCTTTATACCACGTATGAGAAATGGCTTCCAACTTCCAAGAGGTAGATCTGAAGAGGTGATTTACTTTACACGGATATATGCAACAAAATTTGTATAATAAAAAGAACGAGTAAAGGGTCAAATAAGTCCCGGTACAAGTTCTGTCCAGTCGTCGCCATTTGGGGCGGTTCCCAGAAATTTTTGGTGAAATTTTTTAAGCATCTTATTCATTAAGTCTAGTTTACTCATACAAAATTTCAACTAAAACTTCAATCGGGAAGACTTTCAAATGAATTGTTGAATATAAAAGCGCAGTTATGTTCAAAAATTCATTTGAATGCCTTCCCGATTGAAGTTTTAGCTGAAATTTGGTATGAGTAAACTAGACTTAATGAATAAGATGCTAAAAAATCATCAAAAAATTCCACCGGAAACCACCCCAAATGGCGACGGGCCGAACAATAAGGACTTATTTGACCCTTTTTATGCAATTTCGAGGACTAGCCTGACCCTTTACTCAATAAAAAACTGCTTAAATGTCAAGTAACTTATGGTCTGGTGGCATCATTGTGATACTTCCAAAAAAGAGGTTACAAGTTCGAATCTCATCTCAATTCAAGGATGTTGGTCTTAACAGAACAGATATCATAATAGATTAGAAAGATTTCCCAAAAAAATTGCTTAAATAAATTCCAATCAACGTTTTATACTCCCTCTATTATTCTAGGGTGCGTATAGAGATAGGAAAAATACAGAAATTTTGATATATGTTGCATTTATCATATCGAAGAATATTGAATATTTCAAAATGTTTGGTATCAATAGTGTATGGTACCGAATTATATTGGTATCATATCAGTATATATTTTAAATATAAATGATATATCGTCATGTTGAAAGTTAAAGTCAATATTTTCTTTTAAATTATAAAATGACTACAAACATAATATTTTTTTATAGGATGAATAAGTTTATATCCTTGTTTTTGATTTATTTATAGGAACAATTGACAAGAATAATTTCATCTTTTGCCGATCTTCTCATAATAATCTCACATTTATGAATTTCCAGAATAATCTCACTTTTGCACATTATCTTCTTTCGTTGGAACCTGACTTGATGGTGACCTACTCTATCAGGTTTTTTGCATGTTGTTTTGGAAAACTTATATAAATAATCTCACATTTCATAAATCTGTTCAAAACAGTCCCATGTTTCATTTTTCTTTTTTCTACCAATTTTTTTTTTCTTTCATTAGTTTATGCATCAACACTTTTTCATTCATTTTTTCATTTGGGAAAAAAATTTTACAAAAAAAAACTCCTAATAGTTTTAGGGAGAAAAAAGATAAAATGATACATGAAACCGTTTTGTAAAATTTCCTTCCCAATTAGTTTTTTTGTCATTTTCTTTCTTTTCCTAATTCATTTTCCTTATATATGCTTCTCTTCTTAATCATTCTCTTTTTATTAAAGATCTTTTTCTCACTATACTTTTTATTTTCTATTTTCCCCGTTTTTCTAAATATGTCTACTCATTAACTTCATCATCTATGGGAAACACTCAATGTGACAAAAAGATTAGGGAAAAATAAAATTGTAAGAAAACAAAACATTCGGGAAAATGTCAGAAATAAAAAATTACATTTTCAAGAATGTTTTATTTTTCTTTACATTTCACGAACATTTTATTTTTCTTACAATTTTATTTTTATCTAATCTTTTTATCACAGAGTTTTTCTCACAATTGATGGAATTAATGGGTTGATTTGCTTAAAAAATATGATAATGAAGAACGGAGAAAAAATACGTTGATGGTAGAATTAAGATAACAAGAAGAAGGAAGAAAAATTTAAAAAGGTAAACAAGATAAAAAAAGGATAGATTGAAAATAAAAATAAAAATATAACAAAACGCAGAGTGAGAAAAAGATCTTTAATAAAAAGAAAATGGCTAGGAATAGAAACATAAAAAGGGAAATGAAATAAAAATATGGGAAGAAAAATAAAATTACAAAAAAAAGAATTTGGGAAGGAAAGTTTACAAAAAAAACTCAACTAATAGAGTGGGAAATAGAATAATAAACATGGAAAATAGAATAAATAAATAAATAATAAATAAATAAATAATAAATAAATAAATAAATAAATAAATAAATACATAAATAAATAAGTAGAAGGATGGAAAAAGGAATAAAAAAAAGTGCCCATGAATAAAATAAAAAAAGAAAGTTTTTAGGGAAGAAAATGAAAAAATGAAACACGAGACTGTTTTAAGCAGATTTGTGAAAGGAGAGATTATTTATGTAAAAAAATAATGCAAAAAACCTGGTATAGTAGGTTATCATCAAATCAGGGTCCAATAAAAGAAGATGAGGTGCAAAGGTATGATTATATTGGGAATACGTATGTGGAATTATTATGAAAAGATTGATCAAATGTGGGATTATTCTTGTCAATTTTTTCTTATTTATATTTCTTGTTGGAGATCGATGTCATTTTATTTATATTTATGTTTTTTAAATTATTTTAAGAGAATAACAATTTTAACATATTCATAACAATTTTTGTTCAAAATTGAATAGAACATCAATATATAGGTCATCATTAGTATTTCATAATTAATTTTATTAATGATTTTTTATATGTCACTACTAAAACTTATTTACTATAATTTTGACATATAATAATTTGTTATATTAAATCATGATAATTTAGTGATACTCTCTATTTACCGTACTGAAACTTTCGTATACCGAAACAAGGTATATCGAAAATTTGGAAAGGTAACAATATGCATTTTTGCATACCGAAGATTTACAATACGGTAAAGGTATGAGATAAAATATCCGATATACCGTACCGAACTACCCCTAAGTGACCATATAGGCTTGGAATCGATTTTTATCAAATCAGTTTCTAAAAGAATGATTATTTTATTAAACAAAAATAGTTTCGTTCAGTTTAAAGATGTTATTTTATACTTGTAATAAAATATAAGGATTTTATTAAATTCTTTTGGTTTGATTAGTTTTTACTTTATTTTGATTCGGTTTAGAATGGTTTGAGATAAAAACTAGTAGTATGAAACTTAAATCAAATTGCATATGTTTCATTTTCAGTTCGATTTAATTTGATTGGCACACTTTGATTCAGTTCAATCGAACCAATTTGCTCACTCCTAATATATCTCCATACTGCATAAGAATTGTTCATGATAAATGGACTGTTTTCAATACAAAAAGAGTTTTGTTTCATAAAATAAAACGAACATCTTTTATTATTTCAAGTTCATGTTGATAGATAGTTAAATTGGGATACCACTAGTGGTATGTAAAGATAATGCAAATCTATTGAGTTGGAGAGAGAAGAGCAATCGTATTAGAGATTTGTGAACTGTTACATCTGCCCCACATGAGTGACTATTTATATTAGTCATAAATGCTAGGTGCATTAAATGCATGTACACGCGTAAACTAAACTATGACAAAAAAATATTGATGTAAAAAAGATCTAGACACGTGGCGGGGCATTAAATATGGTGATTCAGTGTTGGAAGGCGAAGGACCGAGGGCCTTACAAGCTAAGGATGAGGGCTTCTCCTCAGGGACCAAAGGCTCTTTCTCGAGGGCTCGCCCAAAGACTAGATTTTCTAGATTGAGTATGTCGGGTGTGCGTTTTGTGAATTGTCGTCTTTCATGGCCTTTGGTCATGTACCCTAGAGGTGTCCAGTTGCTTGCTTGGGCCTGTTGACATGTCTAAGCATGTTGCAATGTGATAGGACTATGTGGATCGGGGGTCATGAGCCACATGTATTCCTTTCAAAATGTGTTAAACAAAGAGAATCTTACCAAATTATTCTACAACATTCAAATGATGTTAAAGTGTCAAAACAGTATCAACCTTCATTAACATATACCATCCATACAAAAAAAGTATTCCGCTAATTCAAATAAACAAATGATTTTCTCAAACTCAAGATCAAATCATGCCAGAGGAGAATGAAATACTATGTATAACTTCAAAAGGTCCAGGTCCCAAAAAGTGAGGCTCGGGACCAGTCCCGATACCCACTTTAGTCGTTGTCCAATCCAGAACCTAAATGTTCCTTCCAACGGTCCAAGTCTCTATTTGAAAACTAGTCGATTTCTATCCGGCCCAAAACCTTGTGCACCTCCTCATATATATCTTTGCTCCCGTATACTTTCATTCGGTCCTTTTTTTAGAGTTGAACACAAGGAATTGAAACACATATATTATACACAAATGTGTTACAAGATTACATATTTACATCATCTCCAAAAATTCTGGATCAGCATGTTGGCATCTCCGGCCGGCAGTTATTTCCCCCGTTTGAATCCGGCAACTGACCACTGTCGTCTCCCTCTACCGTCATCACCTTATAATTCAACAAAGTGTCCAGACCGTCGTCATCGGTGTTGGCGCTGCATGGGTAGTTGTAGACCAGAAGCTCTGTTGCTTCTTGTGACAAAGATCTTGTTAGCGACGGCCGCCGGTGGCGTTTGAAGAACAAGCAAACAGCAGCACAGTCATCAGTGCGAGCACAAGGGTACTTGTGTTTCCATACCCGGACAGCACGCTCAACTAGAAATCGAGCTGCCATGGATCTCCTCCTTGCTGAAGCCACTGTTCTTATCACCTCATTGTTGCTTAAAACATCCCATACCTGAAATATCCGGCAAGAGTTACCATATGATACTCCCTCCGTCCCAAAAAAGTTTGTTAAACTGTCTTTTTTTCAATGCTAGTCAAGTTTGACCAATTTTGTTTCTAATATGGAATTATTTTGAATATGAAAAATATATTAAAATGTTCTTTATTAAAAATATTTTCATAAAAATATAAAATTATAAATTGTACACAAATATATATATATATATATATATTAAAATTATTGTCCAAAAACCCAATTTTTTTGAAGAAATAGGGTGCAAAGTCAAATGATTTTATACGGAAGTGGTTGAACACATTGATGATTTTGAAAATAGGGTGTTAAGTCCAATATCATCCAAATAATGGAGTGTAAAGTCAAATTCCTCATTAAAAAATCATAATCAACCCTGAAGGGCTACCAATTATTATCCTTTGAATCAATTGAATGCAAGGGGTTGCATTCCTTTTAAGATGTATATGCAATGTGATTTCACTGTAATTACCCCATCAGTTGCTAAAACAACGAATTCATCTTTATCTGTGAGCTTTCTGTAATGCATTTGAGGGACTGAGGAGAGGCCATAGCTCTTAAGACAAAAGTCACCGAACGCCCTTGCCATGGCTAGACCTGGGCTATCTTCATCAGGCTTCCATATCCGGTACACATTTGGCTCTTCTGCCATTGCAATAACTCTCCCGTTGCAGTTTTTAATTCTTTCAAACTCACCTAATAAGCATATTTATATATTAGGGGGAGGCCCAAAAATCGTTCAAGATTTTATTATTATATGCGCCTCTAGTCAATGAGTCTACCTGGAAGGTTAGGCTTCAAATCGACGGTGAGCTGTTCCGCAACGAGCTGGTCTGAATCGTCTCTTGTGCAAATAACAGCCCGAGAATCACCTAAATTCCCTATCACTAAATGTTCATCCTGCAAATTTTTTTAAAAGTTTTTGTCACATTAGTTAAATATGAAACAATAAACTAACAAGATATTATATTATCTTTAGGATGAAATCTTAAATCCTAATATCGTGTAAGAGTGTACCAGTTCGAAATGTGTTAGCAAAAAATATGATAAGGTGTTTAGTCATGAATGTGTTAAAAGTTCAAGCTCACATATATAGTAATGTAGTAAACCAATGTACTCTGCATAAGACATTACACTACTCATATTAGGTTTAAGGTTTGACTCACATTTACTAATAATGTAATAAAACAATGTACTCAATATTAGACATTACACTACTTATATCAGATTAACATTTTTCATCATGTTCACTTTTTAAAATCGCCAACAATACTTTGTAGGAGAGGAACAACAATACTAAACATTTTGTCTCTATTTCAAGAGTTGTGTAATTATTAATACCTGTTTAAGGACAGTAACTGCTGTTGAGCCACTACATTTGATATCAATTGTTGTTTGGCCTTCAAGATCTTCATCCATCTCCTTAAACGAATCGAGAAAAACTGATTTCCATCGGACAAGAAAAGGGTTTGGGGGATCATCACCATCATCCTTCTCATCTAAATCTTCACTACTTGTGTCATCATCAGCCACCTCAAAGCTCACAGTTGATATAACCCGAGATGACGACTGGGAAAGTTTTGATGGCAAAATGTCGCGTACATAACGTGAGACTTTGTGGCCGGAGGGGCCATGGCCATCAAAAACACCGCAGAAGTACGTACCTTTTTGTCCTGTAAAGTTCTGATAAACATATAGAGTTTTGAAACATCTGTCTCATGGGGGGTAATGTGTGTGTGTGTATAATACTTCGTATTAAACAATTATATTTGATGAGCTAGTCTTTTTATAGAACCGCATAATCAATCTTTTATCTTTGAATCTCAAATCTTAAATATAGCACGATAATAATACATCTCCACCCCCTTCATCAATTTGCTCAAATTCATGATATTTTACAAAAAAGCATAAATATTAAAAGGAAGATGTGAATGGAAAATGTACCTCCCAAACAGTCATGGAATCTTGGTTGATACCCTTTCTACCTTGTCGAGAATACATGGAGATAAAACTAGAAGACCCATGAAGCCTAATGCGTGCACCATAATCTCCTCTTCCCGCAACCCCTTCATAGATATCATCTTCTTCCCCATTATTTCTCTGCAAATGCTCTGCATTTTCCTCAACAAGGTTTCCGGCAACGTCATACCTCTCAATCACCCCTCTTTGGCAGGAAACACATGTACCCATGTTGTAATCGATCAGGCCAGGATTTAATTCCGGCCTGGCCTCTTCTAGCTATCAAATTAACTATGGAAGAAGGATATTCGATCCTAGGAACGAAACCTAGGATGAAAGCTAAGAAAGGATTGATTGTTTTTTAATAACATGTTTAATGATAACTAGGGAGGCGTGGGGGGAGGCAATTCATGAATGTTCTCTCATAATAACGGGAGGATAACATTCATGATTTGGCGGGATAATAAAAAGATCAAACTCAAAGAATATGTTTCAGGTGTAATAATTCATTTTATCTTTGTTCTATTTTTATTGTGCGTCTCTCGTAAAATATTGTTTGTACGCTAATGTTGGGAATTAGGATCCATTTGCTTACATAGTTTGACTCTTACTAAGGAGTGAAAATAAGATCAGAGGTTTTTTAATTTCTTAATATGATGCCTTGAAAGAAACTAATTCATAACCATTGGATATTTCCTAAGCAATAAGATAGAAAATATCACTAACAAATGAATAAATTAATTGAATAGACACCTTTTAGTAAATAATTTCTCTAGTGGCATCAATTTTAATAACTTCAATCATTAACATATAATAATTACATAAATAAATTTGTAAACACATAATCTATCATAAATTTTTTCCTTCCTCAAGCACATTCGAAAAAATAAAATGAAAAGAGATAATATGAATTCCTCTTGGCCGCAACAATCCACAAGTCACTCAACCTATTTTACTTGAAGAAATAAATTTGCTCTAATCAGTCTCTCCCTGCCAATATTTATTCAAGAGATCTAAAACTAAACAAACTTAGCCACAACTATCCCAATATTTCTGGTGTTGTGACAATCAGACATCAACTATTCCAACAACTAAAAATCCAACAAGCATGTCCCTAAGTTACTGCCTCCTCCCCGTTTTCTGGACCGGGATTGCTTGTAATCCATTATGTCTGATCCAATCTCCTCCTCATCTACTCCTTCCTCATATTCTCCTCCCTTTTCCGGTCCCCTTACATCACTCATTTCCCTCTTTGCCTCGCCTACCATTGCCTTACACTACTCTCATTCCCCATCAACTTTCTCTCCCCTCATGCTCTCTTTGGTCCTACCATCCCCTCTCCATCTTGATTACCCCTCAAGCACCACATCGCCCCTTTCCGACATAAACTATTTTTGCCCACTCCTATCTCGTCTCCTTTCACTTGGAGCTCTCAACACATAACCATAATTCATTCTGTCTCCCATAGTATCCACCATCCATGAGGGCAAAACTTATCCCCACGCAGAGCACCACACAAACAAGATAGAAATTTGGACAACCAATTGGTTGGGCATGTTTAAATCTGCCCAACCAGTTGCTTCCTTTCTTGAGCAGTTTCATACGCCTCTTCAAAGATATCCAACATCCAAGGACACCCAGAGTATATGCTTTTGAAGTATATTTCTTTGGCTATATATCCTAGCTGTCATAAATTTCACTTGGAATTTATGAACTTGGACATACAAATCTGCACAAAGTAGCTAGACTTTGAGGAGTAAGTTTTCAACTCATAGGCGGAGTAAAAATAGCAAATTATGATGAAACAAGCACATGTCATCTACAAAATACCACATACACTGCAACTCAACTTCATGATAAGATTTAACTAAATATCTCTTGGAGCTGATATCAGAGATCATTAAGCCATTCGCTAGTCTCCACCGCCATGGTGTCCCGGAAAATTAGAAACTTTATTACCATTTTAGTAACGGTAGCTCCCACAACTGATAGACGCCATTCAATTGCCGCCCCATCGCTCCCCACCTTCGGCCTTCCTCACTCCAAAACGATCCCGTCATCTTCTTATTCAATCGATAATATCTAGTAAACTCCCTCAATTCTTGCCCTACTTTGTGGTTTCTTCCTCCCCAATAAACTCGAGGTCAAAAAGGAAAAGGGGAAGACCCTCGCCCGTGATGACAAGAAACTAGGCATGGCAATGGGTCGGGGCGGGTACTGCAAGACACGTCCCGTGAATTCACTAGGTGGACCCGCCCCATCCCGTGACCCTCACGGGTCCTAAATTGTTGACCCATGAACCGCCCCATGCGGGGCGAGCCCCCCCGTAACCTAATTAACTACTATGCATTTCTATTTGTGTGAAAATGTTACCACTTGAATCTACACAAAGTTTATCTTTAAATAATTAATTAATAATAATATATTAAATCAAAGTCAAAATACAATAAAATTTTCAGAAATTAAGAATGAAGTACTTAGACTTGAATGGTTAATCTATTTATATTAATAGTACAATATATAAATTAAAATGCTATATATATATAAAAGACATTAATAATTCATCATTCATCTCCTTCAAATATATAAGTATTAATATATTATAAGACCAAAGAAATTATGATTTATTATATACACACATATGTATGTAGAAAGAAGTATATTTGTAGTATAATTAAAAAAAAGTAATATACTTATATATTGAGCGAAGCGGGGCAGGCCGGGGTGGCACGGGTCAATACTAATACCTGGACCCGCCTCATTGTATGGACGGGGTGGGGCGGACCCGCCCCAAATGCTCTACCCAAATGTCTCGGACATTGACCGGACTAAATAGCCAGACAACTCTCGTTCGTAGATTGGAAGAGCTAAAGTAACTGTTCGTTGGGGCCTGATAGCACTAAGATGGAATAGAATAGGCCTGCTAATATGCCCAATCTCCTTGCTGCAATATGATGAGAGGCTCTTCCTCTCTCTCGGTACAGCTCATTTGAGGAGGCAAGATTTGCCCTTGAGAGGGCGCCGAGTTTGGGTACCTATTTATATAGATAGACAACCCACTTTGGTGTGATTCTCCCACCATTCAGAGAGAGAGAGAGATTGGCCTATGTTAGGGTCTGCGTCGAAGTTATGCCGAATTCGGAGTTCCTAAAATAGGCTCTACTGATGAACAATGAAGGGATTCAAACTAGAATTCCAGTTGAGTATGAATGGGTTTTGGTACTAGCTTTATGTGGTGTTATCGGGCACAAACCCGAGCATTGTAAGGTTGCGAAGAAGAAAGCCAAGCAGGTTTGGGTCCAAAAGAGCTCTCAAAATATCTCCAGTCCAAGAGTTCAAGTTCAGTTTCTGATAAACTTGTCGATGTGATCATTCGACGAAGGCAGTACTCTTCTAGTCTAGGAGGAAGAGAATCTAACAAGAAAGGTTACAGGTTTGATGTGCGAACATTCCATGCTCAATATACCGAGTCCAAAGCAAGGATCCCCTTCAGTAAGTAGGCCGCAACCCGCGCTCGATGTGCAAGGTCTAGCACAAGCGCTTCACACATTACCTTCAGGGGCTCTCCAAACGGGATACGTTCCACCGGGGCAACCCTCTTGCAAATAAGCCAAGTTTCACCTCCCAACCCACGCCGGGTTATGTTCCTCAACCCCAACCAGGGTCTTATCAGCCTAACCTCTTCTTTCGCTTACTACTTTAGAAATATCAAGACGAGTCCACTACTAGAGAACGAGCCCTTGTCTTTGGTGCTTAGTCTTCAAGTTCTTATTCAATGTGGATAGATAGGGAGACGGGCACTGCTAGGCGCTCATGCCTACTTTGAAAGAGGATAACTAAGCAAAGCAGGCAGATAATAGGAAAGAAAGCTTTGAAGCCTTCGCTCGATGAAAGTTCAAATCCAATTCGTGAGATGGCAATTATCTATAATAGGAAGAATTCTTCTACAGCTGATCCATAAGAATGGGGGCATTAGTCAATCAATGAAAAGGAATAAGTCGTTTGGCTTCCATTCCCGAGTGTTGGTTTGGAGTTGACCCAGTAGTAGGAGTTGAACACAGCTGATATTGATCCTCTGTTACATCCGCTGAAAGATCTGTTGCCAGTTCCGAAAGGCCAATCATTCCGGTTATCCGAGTTTCCCTCGACGCTGACCTGATAGAAGTCAAGCCTTTTGTCTCAAAAAGAATGGTCTCCATCTTCTTCTTCTTTAGCATTATTGTAAACCATTTGATCCTAGTCGTCTTGTGTGGAAGGAACCAGATGACAGAGAATCCATAGTCTGCTAATCTAACCCCCAACGTCTTTGATCCTGGATAGAACTATATTCTACATGAGATCTCTTTCTTTTGTTTGTTAGGGGGTGTTTGGAACTGATTCTGCTTCTGCTTCTTTTTTTAAAGCAGAAGCAGAATCAGAATCAGTTTTCAGAAGCTGGTCACCCCCAGCTTCTAAAAAAAATCGATTCTAGGGGCAAATTTGAGCACCAGAATCACTTCTACACTTTCACCAAAACACTCCAGCTTCTGCTTCTGCTCCTTTAGTGAGCAGAAGCAGTTTTAAGAATCAGATCCAAACACCCCCTTACACAACACTGAATTTGTTCTTCTGGCTATGATTCTTTATTTAGAGCTTATTTATTGTCTGGCCTTTTTCAACCTCTTTTTTTTTTTTGCAAATAATTTTCAACCTCTTCTTCAGGTGGAGTATATGAATGCGAACCTTGTGAAACTGTGCCCCTTCACACCAGAAGCCGTAAGCCCTTGAGGCAAGGCGAAAATAAAGAGATGCTTTTGTTTTCTTTAGACTCTCGTTTTTGGATGTGGATTGAGCATTTTTTTAGTATTGTTTTTGTGCTTGTTAACCTTCTTCGTTTTGACCGGACAACTGGATGCGAATCTTGCGAAACAACTAAACCCAACGTAAATGACTGTGTAAACAATCTTCCATGCCCTCCATCGGTCCATACTAAAATTTAATTTTCAAACTTTTCTAATTGGAACGTTCTTCCATGCCCTCCATCGGTCCATACAAAAATTAACTTCCAAACTTTTCTAAAATTAACTCCTACTCAGGACTTTATTTTTTTATTTTTTTTTATTTTTTATTTTTGATGATCCAGGTGTCGGTGCTTGCGCTCCCCTAATCCTGGAGTCTATTGACTACCCTCCAAAGCCTTCTAGACAAGTAAATCCAGATATGATCACAGTCAGCCTCGTCGGTACTGGTACTACAGGACGAATCCAGCAGGACTTCCTTTCAACTGAATGCAGAAGGGTTTTTTTGGCCTTTCAACTGAATCCAGAAGGGTCCTCCCACCACGCGAACCCGAGCCTGAATTTCCATCTCCTCCCTTCTTAGCCGCTGAGCAACTCCGTGAAGGTAGGAAGAATCATTGGGAGCAAGACCCCCCTCCTCTCCCCTAAATGTGTCTAGCGGGAATCGAACCCGAGACCTTAGCTAGACAC